TTTTTTTGTTCAATTTTACATCATTTATTAATGTATCTGCAGTTACCAAAGGTCCCTCATGTAGGAGGCATGAACCGCATACGTGCTATGCGCCAAAATCCTCATATATGTGCTTCTTGGGCAGATACGGGTCATGTTCAGGCGAGTATGTTATTTATTTGTTTAAGTGTTTACGCTTGTGTATAAAAGAAAATAGCTATGAAGTTTTGTGGGCTTTGATGTTTTAATATTTGTTTTCAAGTACTCCGAAATTAATTCATCTTGATGATGAATGTTTTATTTAGTGCTCATGGTAATTGATTAGAACGCGAAAATATTAGTCTAGAAGATGAATATCTTGTGTAGCTCGAATATTGTAGATTTCCCGATGTGATGCTTTTTACAGATGTGGGACTTGAGCTCGCAATTGAAGTCTTTGGTAGAATCGGAAGCTGAAGCTATCCGTTCGGGACACAAAGATGAAGGTTATGCCATGGATTGGAGTCCACTGATTCCAATCAAGCTCTTATAGTCAGATTTTCTGGACACAAAGATGAAGGTTATGCCATGGATTGGAGTCCTCTCATTGCTGGAAGATTTGCGTCGGGTATGAGTTAGCTCGAAGCCTTTCGTTTTATTGCTGTAAATCTTCTTCTCAAAGCATTTCTTTTGAGTTATGTTTTTGGATTCTGCTTTTCATGCAGGGGATTGCAAGAGTAGTATTCATCTGAGGGAACCCGCATCTGATTCTACATGGAATATTGATGCGAGTCCCTTTGTTGGTCATACTGCAAGTGTCGAAGATTTACAGATGTATTTGTGCTCCTATTTTTTTTTAGAATAATTATGGAAATTACTCCCGAGTTTTCATACAAGTGCAAAAAACAGCAAAGAAGTTTTGAATAACCCGACAAAAAAAAGAGTTCTGAATATATTGATGGCATGCTACAGGACGCTTTCGTAAAATTTCTTTGCTTAATGAAGAGGAAATTTACAGATTGATTCAGAGTGCGAATTTACTATTCCAAATATCCCCTCGGTTTGTCTGTAAATACTGAAATGTAAGGAGTGTTATTGTATCCTTATGTTTTTTGCTAAAAATATATATACGGGGAAAATACTGTATCGATGGTTATCTACTTAAGTTTCAGTGGAGTCCAACAGAACCATTTGTATTCACCTCATGCTCAGTCGATGGAAGTATTGTGATTTGGGATGCATGTATTAGTTTATGACTTGCTATTTGGCCTTATTGATGGGATGCATGGTTGTAGCATAATCTTTTTTATTGTCTTATTGGAGCTCGAAAAAACAAAACAATACACATAGTTAGTTCACAGAAACCTTCAGTCGATCAAACAAAACTTCAATGAAACAATAATATCATTTTTTTCATACCTTTTTCACCTGCAATTTTTTCAGCCGATAATATTGTTTATGTAATGTTCTATGTAATCCTCCATACACACATGCAGAAAAAATTATATTTAAATTCCAAATAATATAATTACATTCATGAAATAAAAATTTGTGATTCTATATCTTTCGTGTATGAAAATCATGATAATTTACCTTTTCAGATTAGATGATCACGACAATATAATGATTTTTGTTAAATAGTCACTAATACTATATTCGAATATAATTCAAACAGATGTCATTTTTCGTCTTATAATAATCACCAGCTAACAAATATACCTTGGCGTTTACTTTAAACATATATTCAGTATCTATTTAACAACATAAACAAATTAAAATCAACAGATACAAAGGTATCATCTATTTTAAATTAAACAATATTAAAAACATTACTGTGATCAGTCTGAGTTCCACACTTGATTAAGTGTTCGACCAGTTAGTATTTTGCTTCCAATCTTTTTGACTAATTTTTTCTCTTCAAAAATGTGTGAAAATTGGATAAAATCACGTGGAATTTTTATTCTTTAGAAACAAAATTGAGATTTTGGACGGGATATACATTCAAAATCATATCCACATTTTTAGGTAACAAAATCGCTTAATCTTAGATATTTAAAGTCAAACCTATCCAATTATTTAGAAAAAATAATTTAAATCAATTTCAAGATCGTGTGCAACTTTTCAAAATTTGAATGCATCAATTTTTTTTATTCTTATGTTTTTTCTTAACCATGTTTTACGAGATTTTAGTAAAAATTCATGTCAATTTATTTGTGAAGTTCATATCAATTTTTTAGGAGATAAATAGTTGCATAAACTTAACAAATTATTCCAATTCTTTATTGTAATTAATTTCAATTCAAGTTATTTGGTAAAAAAATTGGTGCAATGTTAGAAAATTTCGGTTGTATTTTTAGGAAAATTTGATGATTTTTTCACTTATTTTTTTTAACAAAAAATGTGTCAATTATTTATGAAACAAATATAAATACAAATTAGTTTAACAACCGTGTAAATTGGATACAAATTTAGGAAACAAATAGTTGTATAATTCTTAACAATTTCATCCAATCTTTTTGAATATTTTTTATCTCTTAAAAATGTGTGAAGATTGGATACAACCACGTGCAATTTTTTTTTTTTTTAAAGTTGAGATTTGGACGGAATATACATTTAAAATCGTATCCACATTTTTTGGTAACAAAATCGGTTCATTTTAAATATTTAATGTCAAACCTTATCCAATTATTTAGAAAAAATAATTCAAATCAATTTTTAAATCTTGTGCAACTTTTACAAGGAAAAATCCTGTGCAATTTTTTAAAATTTGAATCGTTTTTTTTTATTCTTATGTTTTTTCTTAACCATGTTTTACCGAAGTTTTACCGAAGTTTTAGTAAGTTTATCAATTTTTTTAGGAAAGAAATAGTTGCATAGATCTTAACAAATTATTCCGATTTTTTATAGAATTAATTTCAATTAAATTTATTTGGTAAAAAAATTGATGCAATATTAGAAAAAATTAATTGCATTTTTAAGAAAATTTAATGATTCTTTTCAGCTTGTTTTAACCAAATATTAGGATCAATTTTTTTTGGTAAAAACATTTGTGTATTGGTAGAAAAATTCGGTTCATTTTCAGGAACTAATGTTTTTTTTTTAATTTTTTCTTAATTAAGATTTTGAATTAAATTTAAAAATAAAATAACGTGAAAATCTCTAAAAATCCCTACTTTTTCTCTACTAGAATTTTGGTTAATATATTAGATCCCTTAATTTTTTTTAAAAATATAATTTGTTAAATAATAACTAATAATAAACAATTCGAAGATTGGAACTCCCGTCATGTTGTTGCGAAATATGGATCATTCTATGGGTTTATGTAATGGACACGGTTGGTTGTGACAAAACTATCCGCTCATGTTCTGAGTGTAAGATACTCACTGGGGATCACGAAGGCGAAAAGGTGTTGATTCCTAGAATGACTATGACTCCTTCCGATGTCAGAATTCCTTTCAAATTTCAGAGGCGACAATTTTCGATTATGATGTCTTATGCCATGACTATCAACAAGAGCCAAAGACAGTCGTTATCGCATATTGGTTTATTTCTTAAAAAGTCGGTGTTAAGTCATGATCAATTATATGTTGTCGCCTCCCGCGTCACCAAGAAGTGGATTGAAAATATTAGTCTGTAATGACGATGACTTGCCACCAAATCAGACCCAAAACGTTGTGTACAAAGAAGTATTTACTAATTTATTAAGTTTAAATTTGTTCTTTTTCCATTTTACATTTGTTACATATCTATAAAGTGCATTATATTTAATGTTAATATTAAAAAAGTTTCAGAAAAATATACCATTCCGTGCATCGCACGGGTCAGTACTAGTTTTGACCAAACTAAGAAGAGAAGGTCATAAAGATTTTTGTCCAAGGCGGACGGAAGTTTGGCCTTATCTAGGGGGAAGCCAATAATAAATTTGACATTGACTGCAGAACAAAGGGCATTTTCGTCAAGCAAACATAATGGGCTGCTCATAAAATGTGGACCCCACACGAGAGAAAAAAAAGCGAGGATAAAATTTGGTGCCAATTAAATGAACCGAAGATTGGATTGTGAAAAGCTCGTTTCTTTTTCCATTTCTGTTCTTCCTTGGGCGTTTCACATAAGTAGCAAAAAACTCCAACTAAAAAACAAGAAGAAGAAAAGAATTATATACATAATATATTCCGTTTATGTATATTTCCGTATACAAAGCAGCAAATCAGGCAAAAGTAGGAAACAAAAAACAAAAAACAAAAAACAAAACTTGTTTTCAGAGTTTCGCCCTTTCCTTTTCAAGCAGAGCTGAAGCTGCTGAGCTGTTTTGGCCTTTTTTCTTTTTTAAATCTGAGCTTCCTTTCTCTTTTCCTATTACTTTCTTGTTGAATTCTGTTTTCCGGTTGAGAGTATGTTGAGGTCAGAGAGAATTAGGAATTTGAATGGTTTGAAATCGGCGTTTGTAGATTCCAACAAAACCGATAACAGTAGCAGCGGCGATGAAGAATCTGAAGCCTTTTTCTCGGCACTTATGGATCTGAATCTGCCGGACGGCCGTCCTCTATCATATCAGACAGCTGTCACCGGCGGCGGCGGCTCTATCGTCGGCTCTTATTCAGTCAATGCTAATTCCACTTTTTTTACTACCTCAGCTCTTGTTAGGCAAACCAGCTCCCCTGCTGGTAATTATTTTTCTCTTTTCTTTTGTTTTTCTTACTTTTTTGTTTAATCGCTTGGGATTTATAAAAGAAAAAAGTTGAGAATCAAATTGGCTGCAAAGATATTTCTGCTCAGGTGGAAAGAGTTGACTCTGCACTAATTTTGGATCCGAAATGTGAGGG